TTTCAAAAAATAATTTCCCACAGGATTTGAAACTGAATGTATTTTTCTTTGGTATGAATTTCAACATTCAGTAATTGCAGAATGACTGTTCAACACTCTGCAACTTCCACTGCCTTTACAAGATTTCTCTCCATTATGAATTTTTATGCTTAATAAGGACTGAAAAATTATTAAAGACTATGTTGCATAACAGTGATTTTCCAGTATGACTGCTGTGGTGTTGAGTAAAGCCAATGGCCTTGCCACATTCTGTCCACGTGTGACACTGATGATCATTCACATGTGAAGAACAAGTAAAGGCTTGACACATTCTTTGCTTTTTTTTCAGAGGTATAATCTGTATGAACTATTTCATGCTGACAAAGATATGAAGAATTATTAGAGGCTTTAACATATTATTTCTAAGTTTTTGGTTTCTCTCCATCATGAATTCGATGATGGCTATACATGTTTGAACAACGGACAGATGATGGGCTACATACTTTACACTTGTAGCGTCTCTCTCCATTGTGAATTCTGTGATATAGAGTAAGGGCTGAATTAATAGTAAAGTATTTCCACAATCTTTACATTTTTAAGGTTTCTTTCCTCTATGAAATCTTTGGTGTAAAGCATGGACAGAATAGTCATTAAAGGCTTTGCCACATTCTTCACGTTTGTAGGGTTTATCTCCAGTATGACTCCTCTGGTGTTTGTAAAGGAGATTTGACCTGGTGAAGGCTTTTCCACATTCATCACACTTGTAGGGTCTCTCTCCGGTATGAATTCTCTGGTGTCGGTGAAGGTGATTTGACCTGTAGAAAGCCATGCCACATTCTTCACACTTGTAAGGTTTCTCTCCAGTATGAATTTTCTGGTGGTTATAAAGTGCTGTGGAAGTAGTAAAGCCATTGCCACATTCTTCACATCTGTAGGGTTTCTCTCCAGTATGAACTCTTTGGTGTTGTTTAAGTCTGAAATGCCAGTAAAACGTTTTGTCACATTCTTCACATGCATAGTGTTTCTCCTTATGAATTATCTGGTGAGCAGAAACTTTTGAAAGTGTACTAAAGGTCTTGTCGCATTCTAGACACTTGTAAGGTTTCTCTCCGGTATGAACTGTTTGATGTTGGTTAAGGTATTGAGACCTCCTAAATGCTTTGCCACATTTTTCACATCTGTAGGGTTTCTCTCCAGTGTGAATTTTTTGGTGTTGTATAAGGTATGAAGAAGACTTAAAAGTTTTGTGACATTCTTCACATTTGTAGGGTTTCTCTTCAGTATGAATTCTTTGGTGTCGTTTAAGTCTTGAAGAACAGTTAAAAGTTTTGTGACATTTTTCACATTTGTAGGGTTTCTCTTCAGTATGAATTCTTTGGTGTTGTTTAAGTCTTGAAGAACAGTTAAAAGTTTTCTCACATTCTTCACATTTGTGAAGTTTCTCCTCCGTCACAGTCCAAGACTCTTGACTTTGCTCCAGAAATGTGACCAGAAACGGCTTAGAGACAGCAAGACCTGTTTTTATGAAACAGCAATACAATTATTTTCCTGCTGTTTTTTGGAGTTAACATTTCTTTTCTAGAATCATGATTATAAGAAAAAAGAAGATATGATAAATGATTGTAGAAAATTAGTTCTTTAAATGTTTCCTGACAGATATTATAATACTCAGGGTGAATAATTTTCACCAATTTACAGATACTGAACTTTACTTAAAAATATAAACATTAAAACTAAAGAGTGAAACATTTTAAGTTAGCATAGATAGTTCATGTCTCAGGTGACTCTATTTCTAACATTACCACTAAAGTGAAAGATACATACCTTCTAAATAAATGTGTTAAAACACAATAAAAATACAGTAATTTTTCTTGGCAATATCAACACTCTCCCTATTTTTTCCTTAAAAGCAGTAAAGCATATAAAACTCATTTATGAAATTCATAAGCTCCCTTGAAGTATTCTACAGGGTGAGGAAGTTAAATGTTGACAGTGAATTTTGAATTCACCATGGGAATGATCCTCACCCAGGAATACAAGGTTGCTGTAATTCTCCAACATCACATCCTTATATAAATCCCACCGAGCAGGGTCCAGGTATTTACACTCCTCTGGAGAGAAATCAATGGCCACATCACTGAATGACATCAATTCCTGAAATAAAAATAAATATCATAAGTTAATGCCATTAACAGCATAAATAACAAATAAGAACATAAATACCAATGGTCATCATGAAAGGAGTGTTTCTAACATAGATGAGTAATATTAACTAGTAAAATTCTTCTATATTTAGTAATATTATCTCATGCTTTATCCATCCTTAAGAAAAATAATATACAATATTCATAGACATATGTGTTTGTATTATACACTATAGAGTACATACATTTCTCACAGGAAAAAGTTATGGTGAGTGAGAGGATATTTCTCAACATATTCTATACACAACATGAAAGAGAAATGCAATTAAAATGAGACCATGAGGTCTGGGTTTTTGAATATGTACTAACTTCAATAGTGATGCCAAGAATGTGTACCAGAACACACTACTGGGAATAACCAAGGTGTAGAATAAAAAAGGAACAGTTTGGGGCAAGACAGATCGCTCTGCAGTTAAGAGTACTGGCTGCTTTTGTTCTTAGCACAGAAATTGTGGCAAACAACAGTTTTAACACTGGTTCCAGCGGAATCTGACGCCCTCTTCTGATCTCCACAGCATTGCACAACACGGATGCACTCACATACATGCAGGGAATACACTCATACACATATAATAAAATATTTTTAAAAAATATATAGCAAGTAGAGCAATCAACACTTTTTGGATATTAAACTATACAAGTTAACATTGTCTCAGTCTTCCGACTCATAGCATTAGGAATTTATGACACCACTTTTATTTCTCTCTCTTATTTTTACACTTTCTGCAGTTTTGTTTTTCATTTCTCATATCAGTGGATAAAGTACAAAAATAATCTATAAGAACAGAAACATTTTTTATTATTCTTCATGATATAAAGACATAAGTGAGGTATATAGTAATAGCATTAGATAATGTTTATTACATGAATA